GGATCGAATTCGAGACAATTGCAAAATCTACAATTCAAAATATATTTGAGATTGACATCGAATTTTCCCTTTCTCGACCATGTGGAACTTTTAATTATCACTTTTATTCGCGATTCTTTTTTTCTTTTTTTTTTGGCGAGTAACTTGCAAATTAATAGAGAGTCCTGCATAAGAAACAATAGCAATTTTATCCTTCTCTATAAAGCATAGCAAATTATTTTGAAAGTTACAAATGAAAATAAAATTTTTTTACAATAAATTTTTCAATTAATTATTTTTATAATTTAAATTTATTAATAAAATTAAAAATTAAAACCATTTTTAATAAATGTAATAAAAAAATTAATTAATTAATTAATTAATTAATTTCTAATTAATTAGTAATTTTTAATTAACGAAAATTAAAAATACTAATTAGAAAAAAATTGTGAGCAAAATGAATTTCAAAAGATAATACATATTTAGAGTGATTTTGATGTATTAAAGTAATTAGAATCATTATAGTATATATAAATGAGTCGACGATGTAATTTTCTTATTTGATTGATTCACTTTTACTCGCTTTATGACTTTAAGTACTAATCACACATTTGTATTTCTCTATAAAAGTATTTAAATCCATGAATAATAATGAAGCAAAATAATAGTGTAATATACTACTTCAATTTACTTCCATGATATTTATTCTTCTTCTTCTTCTTTATTTTCCTTTTTATTTATCAATCAAAAATATTTATAAATATTCATTAAATTGACACTAAAGAGGGATAAAAATTTTTTTCTCATTAGTTTTTACCGAGTTTTCTTATAGTATTAATGATATTAGTTAGTGAATTAATTAACTATCATTGATATAATTATTTTAATTATTTAATCATCAATTTGAAAATTAAATTATTAATTTAGATAATAAATAATTAAAAAAAAATATAATCAAATTTTAATTACTTAACTAATTTGTAATTAATAAAGTGAATTTTTTAATTGCACCTTATTTTTTATTAAAAAAAATTTTCAAAGTTAATTTATAAACGCAGGAACATTATTGTTAAATAATTAATAATCATTCTATTGTTAAATAAATAATTAAATTTTGTAAGCAGCTTCGAAAAATATATAAAATCGTAATATTAATTATTAATTATTATGATTAATTAATATTATTAATAATTATTATTATTATTTAGTATTATTATTAATTAGTATTATTATTAATTATTTTTATTTTTAATTACTATTATTATTAATTCATTAGTATTGTTAATAATAATTATTAATTATTAATTATTAATTATTAATTATTAATTATTAATTATTAATTATTAATTATTAATTATTATGATTAATTATTATTAATTAGTATTATTATTAATAATAATTATTATTATTAATTAGTATTATTATTAATAATTATTATTGTTATTAATTAGTATTATTATTAATTATTTTTATTTTTAATTACTATTATTATTAACTCATTAGTATTGTTAATAATAATTATTAATTATTAATTATTAATTATTAATTATTATGCTAATAAATTTATCACTTAATTCAATTAAAGGGGGAGGGGGGGTGTTTAAAAAGACATTAGTTTTTCTGTGTTTCTGTGTAACGTTATCTGCATACTATCGTCACGTAATACATACCATAATCATTATAATACTTTTACTATAGTGATTAGCATAATACTACCGTGCAATTACTATGCTCACTGGTATGTATAGCATATAACCCCATAAAAGTGTATAAAAAGATTTTCTTTTCTTCGCGTGAATTTTTTTTTTTTTTTTTTAATTTTTTCTTCTTTTTTTTTTTTTTTTTTTTTCTTCTAATATAGAGAGAGGCAGTTCATTATGAACTGTGAATTATGCTGAACGGAACACTTTGCGTGAGAATGCGGAACGCTTTTATGAGATCAAGTATACTAGATTTACTCTCACACACACACACAGTTGGGCATTGATTTAGTATTATATTTATATATAGTTTCGGTCTATATCAAAGTCTCAATCCGCACAATGAAAGTTTCTATTGTAATCGGCGAAAAAAAAAATAAAAAAGATTTATAAATTGAATTTCATGTCAATTTGATAAAAATAATTAACAGAAACTTTCATTCTTTCGCGGTATACAACATTGAGAAAAAATATATTTGCCTCCAATATTTATTGAGGCAAATATATTTTTATATAATATTTATTTATTGTAAATAAATGTTTGTTTCAAATAAATATTTATTGCAAAAAAAAATGTTTGTTTCAAATAAATATTTATTGTAAATAAATAATTGTTTCAAATAACAAAAAAATTTGTATCGAATAAATTTTATTTCGTTTCAAAAAATTATGTATTTTGGTACAAAAATTTCTTTTTTGCAAATAAATATTCGTCGAAAAGTTTAAAAAATATTTGTAGTAAATAAATATTTATTGCTAATAAATAATTATTTGAAATCAAATATAAATTTTATTTATTTTCCAAAATTTTATTTGGTACAAAAAAGTTTTATTTGCAAAAATAAATATATATATATATATATTTCTCACAAAATAAATTTTATTTGGTTTAGAAAAATTTTATTTAGTACAAAAATTTTATTTGCAAATAAATAATTGTTTCAAATAAATTTTATTTAGTTACAAAAATATTTATTTGGTTCAAAAAATTTAAATAATTCAAATAAATTTTGTTTTTCAAAAAAGAAATATTGCATTTAATTTTTGTCTTGAATGTAAATAAAATTTTTTATTTCAAAAAATAATATTTTACATTCTTTAGAAATTCTGAATCTGATCAAAATAACGACGCAAAAATTTCATCATATTGATCTGAAAGTATATATAGTACATATATATATTTGACGGTATATATTATATATATATATATATATATATTGCGAAATAGTAAATCTTCTGTTTCTGTATTTTCTCAACTTTTTAAATATTTATGAAGTGTTTGAGTATTCATGAAAAAGATTTTAAATTGATAGTCTGTTTTCTGGGCCCAAGTGAGGACTTCATTTATATCTGTCAAAGCTTAGTTGGATTAAATATGAACACGTGCGTTTCCATTAAACATATATATACATATGGCATAATCGTTAAAGTTACCTATAAACAAGTCACAAAAAAAAATTTTTTTTTTAAATACGAATACCAACTAATTTTATTAATTTTGCAAATTAAAGTTTTGCACTTTTTTTCCCACTTTTACTGAATTATTGCCAATAATAAATAATAATAATAATTAATAAAAAATGAAATAAATTAAATTTGTTAATAAAATAAAAATTGTTAATTAATTTTCATTAATTTAATTTTTACAAATAAATATATTTATAATTATTATTGGACTATAAAATATTTTTTCAAATATAGAAATGCAGTTCGAATAGAAATTATTTGGTTCAAATATAAATATTATTTCGTTCAAGAATAAATATTTCTTTTTGGATCAAGTAAATATTTATTTGACTAATATATAGTGAAGTAACCGATTATTTGAATCAAATAAATTTTTTTTTCCCCTGTGTATATATATATATAATTCGCATCGACACTTATATATATTTTTTTTCCAATGACTTTATCACCTGTTCGACAGCCCTTTAAAAGATTTATGCTCTGATTGCTCTGTTATTTTAAGAGCAAGGTGGGAAGAGGGGGGGGGAGACTCGCAGTTTTACAAGTTTATTTACGATTCGATGTACGCGCGCGACTTATCGCAAAATCTTCAAAGTCGAATGCACCTATCTCCAAGTCACATTTCTATAAAGAATTGACGTAATATGAAAGTCTGATAAAATAAATAAATAAATAAAAAACAAAAAAAAACATTTTTTTTTTCATCATGAACAATTGTGCGCGAAAGAAAGATAATCGGTAATATAATGTTTGACTAAGCACATTTTGCATTGATCGCTGATCCATTGAAACACGAATGTTCAATTATGAATTTTTATCGATCATTTCAAAAAAAAATTTTAAATTGTCATATTATCGTGTCTCATTGTTTATTTATTGTTATCTCTCTCGCGTATTATATTTTTTAGTTAAAAAACATTTTTCAAATATATTTTTAGGAAAAATAAAATTTGGATTTAAAATATTGTTTTTAAATTAAAATATTTTGATTTTCCTATTGAAATTAATTTGGAATTTTCTTTTAATAATTTATTTAATTTTTTTTTTATTTTCACCGGTATATTTTTTTCCGCACAATTTAATAATAATTCTATTTAAAAACATCCATAAATTATGATAAGATTGCCGCAAAAATGTGTATTCAATACTTAAAATTACAATGACTTCGTATATGTACAAAATCAACAATGAACACGGGAATTAAAAAAAAAAAAAAAAATGAAAAAAATAAATTAAACCTAAGAGAATTCTGGTGAAAACACACAAGGTCGATTGTTATCATATTAAAAAAAATTTATGTATTCTCAAATTTCATTAAATATTTTAACATTATAAAATTAAATTTTTCTTTTTGCAAAATTTAAAAAAATATTTTTAATTAAAAATTTGAAAAATTATTTTTGCCAATATATTGAAGAAATTTTATTTTTAATTTGCATGTGCGAACTTGTTTCGAGAGACCTGACCCTTTTTGCAATGCATTTTGTTGACGATTTTTATAACTGTTAAAGTTACGAAAGAGTATATAGAGGATGTGCGGAGTCAAGGATTTAAGAAAATTAGCTTTTTTTTTTCTTCTTCTTTTTTTTTGGACAGGTAGGCGTACATGTAACCTGCTTCTGCATTATTCGGGCCATTACCTCCTACGTATATATATATGTATATATCCCCCCATCTCACAAACCAAGTGCTGCGTAACGCATTAACGGAATGTAAATGAGAAAACGCGAAAAAAAAAAGAATGAACGTAAAAGAAAGAAAGAAAGAAAGCCCCCCCGAAAAAAAGAGAAAGAAATATATATATATATATGTATATTTTGTGTATGGAAAAAAAAACGAAAGAAATTGGCTCACTTTTATCCGGTTTCTTATCCTCGGTCCCAAAGTCCTTTGCGATTTGTCTCACGAAGTCCACCTCATCCCGTACTGAAACAGGACAAAATTTTTTATTTTTATAAGAGAAATAAGAAGAATAAAAAAGGGTTATTTTAAATTTTTATTTTAATTAAATAAATATTTTATTGAAGAAAAATAATTTTTACTAGCGTAAATAAATATTTACTTGAACCAAATAATTTTTACTAGCGTAAATAAATATTTATACTTGAATCAAAAAATTTTTACTAGCGTAAATAAATATTTATACTTGAATCAAATAATTTTTATTTGAGCCAAATATTATTTATTTGAACCAAATTATTTTCTATTTCAGCCAAATATTATTTACTTGAATTGAAATAATTTTTACAGAAACCAAATAATTTTTATTCGAACCAAATATTATTTACTTATGAACCAAAATAATATTTACTGGCGTAAATAAATATCTACTTGAACCAAATAATTTTTTTCTAAACCAAATAAATATTTACTTGAATTAAATAAATTTTATTTAAGCCACAAATTATTTACTTGAATCAAATTATTTTTCAAATTGAGTCAAAGAAATATTTAATTGAACCAAATAATTTTTATTTGAGACAAATATTATTTACTTATGAACCAAAATAATTTTTACTGGCATAAATAAATATTTACTTGAACCAAATAATTTTTACTAGCGTAAATAAATATTTATACTTGAAGCAAATAATTTTTATTTGAGCCAAATATTATTTATTTGAACCAAATTATTTTTTATTTCAGCCAAATATTATTTACTTGAATTGAAATCATTTTTACAGAAACCAAATAAATATTTACTTGAACCAAATAATTTTTATTTATGCCAAATATTACTTGCAACAAATAATTTTTATTTGATCTAAATATTATGTACTTGAACCAAATAATTTTTATTCGAGCCAAATATTATTTACTTATGAACCAAAATAATTTTTATTGGCGTAAATAAATATTTACTTGAATTAAATAAATTTTATTTAAGCCAAAAATTATTTACTTGAACCAAATTATTTTTCAAATTGAGTCAAATAAATATTTAATTGAATCAAAATAATTTTTATTCAAGCCAATTATTATTATTTACTTCAATCAAATAATTTTTATTTAGGCCAAATAATTATTTACTTCAATGGAATAATTTTTACATACGCCAAATAAATATTTACTTTAACCAAAATATTTTTTTTTCAATCCAAATATTATTTATTCGAACTAAATTATTTTTTATTTCAGCCAAATATTATTTATTTGAACCATAAATAATTTTTACTTAAAGTAAATAAATATTTACTTGAACCAAATAATTTTTACTTATACGTCAAATAAATGTTTACTTGAACCAAATTATTTTTTATTCGAGCCAAATATTATTAGAAGGAAAAAATTTTTTTTTTCGAGCCAAATATTATTGACTTGAACCAAATAATTTTCAGTTGAGTCAAATAAATATTTACTTGAATCAAATAATTTTCATTTGAGTTTTTTTTCTGTAAATTTTGGATGGCGTTTAAGAATTTATGTCGCAATAAAAAGTGCATATAAATAATTTCTTTTTTTTTCCTGTTTTTTTAGATGGAGATGGATGGGAACAGGTCGTGAACGAAGACTATAAAAGAGAGGTCAGTGATAATGAATCGAAGTAATAGTACATATATATATATAGTGTGGACACAGCTGCACAGTTGACTCCAATTGACCCTTTCTTATTAACCATCAGATACCATTTTACTATATACGCACGTTTATATATATTTATATGTGCGTTATCGGTTTTTCTGAGCGCGAAGAATTCGCGGCTTGGCTCTCCTCGCGTAAATACGTGGCCATCGACGTTTCCGTATACAGATACCTACTTATATTCTCAAACCCTCCTTTCTCAATATATATATATATACACATACAGGAATTACCTGCTTCGCGTATACTTTCAGATCTCATATATATACACTCTCTCAAAAACTTCTATACGTTGCCTTAAAGCAAACTCGTTATTTTCCTCAAATAGAATTTCAATTCAATATTTATTAAATTCAGTATTTTGGAATTTTTTTTTTAAATTTTTATTACAAAAACAATTTTTATTTATTTAGTATTCTCTAAATCTGAATTAGTAAAAATGTTTACTAATTTTAATTAGTGACTCATTTTTTGCTTCTGAATTAGTAAAATTATACTAATTGTTAGTAAAAGTTATAAATAATTAGTAACATTTTACTACTTGTTACTAATTGTTAGTAAAAGTTATTAATAATTAGTAACATTTTACTACTTGTTACTAATTGTTAGTAAAAGTTATTAATAATTAGTAAAATTTTAATAATTGTTAGTAAAAGTTATTAGTAATTAGTAAAATTTTACTAATTGTTAGTAAAAGTTATTAATAATTAGTAAAATTTTAATAATTGTTAGTAAAAGTTATTAGTAATTAGTAAAATTTTACTAATTTAGAAGCAAAAAGTGTGTCACTAATTCAAATTAGTAAACATTTTTACTAATTCAGATTTAGAGAGTAATAAATAAATACTATATTCGTTTGTAATTAAATCTACAAAATTATATTTATTTAAATATTATAATTATAATTATGATTATAATTATAATAATAACAATAATAATAATTATTATTATTACTATTATTATTACTGTTATTTACTCTCTAAATCTGAATTAGTAAAAATGTTTACTAATTTAAATTAGTGACTTACTTTTTGCTTTAGAATTAGTTAAATTTTACTAATTGTTAGTAAAAGTTACTAATAATTAGTAAAATTTTACTAATTCTAAAGCAAAAAGTAAGTCACTAATTTAAATTAGTAAACATTTTTACTAATTCAGATTTAGAGAAATAATTACTAATTACTAATAATTAGTAAAATTTTACTAATTCAGAAGCAAAAAGTGAGTCACTAATTCAAATAAGTAAACATTTTTACTAATTCAGATTCAGAGAGTATTACTATATTATTTTAGTATCAGTATTTAGTATTAGTATTTAATATTAGTATTAGTTTAGTTTTATTAAAAAAAAATTAATTTTTTTATTTATTATTATTATTTTTTTTTTATTATTATTTTTAAAGTGTCTTAAAACATGTATTAGTTGACTGAATATTTGTCAGTACTTCTTTTTTTTTTTTAATTTTATTTTTCGCAATTGTTTTGAATCAGTGAACTCTGAGCATATTGAGTATAATTTGTCAAGACGTGAACTCGATGTCCTTCGCGATGTATAGAATTCTTTTGCGAAGAGTGTATATATATATTTTTTTTTTTCAGCCGATGCGGAAATCTGGTCCCCAGGTTTTCGAGTGCATTGACTTGAAATCTTGAGAGCAAAACGAAAATAAAAAAAAAAAAAAAAATGAAGAGTATACGGCCATCGAACTCTCACAAGATTGAAGAATCGCGTAGTCCTTTTTCTTTAACATTAGTGCGAAATTTATTTTCGTCTTATATCGAATTCACCGTGTGTGTCACTGACCGATAAGGTTCCCGCATATATTTATATATATATATAAAATATTATAATCGCGTTTATATTATGTATTATTTATTCCCGATTTTTTTCTTTTAATCTGTATTTTAAAAAATTGCGAGACAAATATATATTTTTATTTGCTTTAAGTAAATTTTTATTTGCCTCAAATATAAATGCGAATAAAATATATATATTTCTTTTGAGTGTAATTGGACCAATAATTTCTTTATTTCGACCAATATTTTTGTATTTTGCCCAATTTCCGTGTTTGGACCAATAATTTTTATATTTGGAACAATTTTTTATATTTGAATCAAACAATTTCTATATTTAAAACAATTTCATTAAAATTTAATTTAAATAATTATTTTAAAAAATAAATATTTATTTAATTAATAATAAAGTATAACCGATTTATTTGGAATCAAATAAAAAAAAAAAATTTTTTTTCACCGTACATAAAGAGGAGATTATCGAGAGTGACAAAGAAAGAAGAAAAAATAGAGAGGAGAAGGGGAGAGGAATAAAGAAAAGAATTTTCTACAAAAAGAAGAAGAAGAGGAATTAAAAAGAGATGGAGAGAATTAAGAAAAGAGAGTAAACAGAAAAATGATAACAAAAGAAGAATTAAAGAGAGATGAAGAGATAAAGCAAAGGTAGGGGAGAAGAGGCAATAGGAAGAGAATGTAAGATAGGGAGGAAAAGGGCCATAGAAGGTATATATAGTAAAAAGAGATGCATGGGGAGGTGAATTGAAGAGAGAGAGAGAGAGAGAGGGGACAAAGAGAGGAGAGGAAAAGAGAGCAACAAAAGTAACAAGAGTAGCTTTCTGGCCAAAGAGGTTGGGAGCGGGTGGCCTTGAGCAGGTCATCACCTCCGGCTGCGGTGATGCTGCGCTGGACCATCGTAACTTCTTCTTGCTCCTTGAACCCCGTCTTTCTTCTCCTTTATTCTCTTCTCCCTTTTCTTTTCCCTTTCTCGTTTTCTCTCCTTACACGCAACTTGTCTCTCTCTCTCTCTCTCTCTCTCTCCTTCTCTCTCTCTATTTCCCCTTCTCTCCTACTCTTTTCCTTCTCTCTTACACTCTTATTACCCCCTTATCTCTTTCTCTTTTTCTCTCTCTTTTTTTCTCTTTCTCTCTCTTTCTCTCTCTTTCTCTTCTCCCTCACTCGGTCTCCATTTTTGTCCATCTAGCTCTGTCCTTTTCCAGACGCTCTTTACACTTTGTGCGCGCATAGTCTCATGAAGAAACAATCCTTGCATCAGGTTAACTCTCCTCTTTTTTTTTTCTCTCTCTCTCTCTCTCTGCTTAAAGAGCTGATATTTCGAAATTGACATCGAGAAATTCATTTAGCAAACAAAAAATAATATGTCCTCTCTTTATTCTTTATTAAGAGGCTTATAATAGTAATAACTTCCTTTGAGACCAACCTCTTTTGCGCGCCAAGTTTGCGTTCTCTTGTTTTGTGTCCTTTTTGCAATTCTCCTTCTTTTGTATTTTATATATATACACTCTCTGGCACTTTTCGATTCTCTTCTATACTTTATAACTATATTAAAGAAACCTAGTATTTTTTTAATTTTCTTTTTTTACTCATATAAATATCCTGTGTAATTGCAAACACCGTCTTTTCGTAAATAAATTAGTATTTCATGAAGATTTCACAAAAATATTTCAATTGCAGTTCATTCAAAAAAATGATATATTTCACTTTAAATTTCGTGCAGAAATTTTAACCAGGGCCTAGATCGGGGCCAAATCAGACTGCCCTCACTGTAAATCGAAAGGTATTAATTTAATACCGATTTTTGGTAATAAATTGTCATTTGGTTCTATTTTAATACCTAAAATCGGTACTATTTTAGTACCTTCTTTTTACAGTGCTATTAGGGAATGAAACGCCACGCCTGATGTGGCCCTGATTAGGAAATCCACATTTTCTGGTCGCCCTGATTTGGCCCTGATCAGGTGTGGTGTTTCCATTCCCTACTAGGGCCCTGATAGGGCAATTTCAACACGGGATTATATTTTATACTTCCCGTGTAGAAATTTTGAAAGGGCCCTGACAGGGCCCAGGTCAGGAAGCTCCAAATTCGCATCGGGGCCACAGAAAAAGACCTATTTCAACCCGATTAACATCGATTAAAACCGGGTCCCGATCAGAGCCTGGTTTGGCCCCGGTTCCTTGTTTCAACCAGATCAGGGCCAAGTTGGCGAATTTCTGCACGGGTTACTTTATTATATTTTACTTTTTATTCCAGTGCAGAAATTTGCCAACTTGGCCCTAACCTGGTAGAAACAGGGAACCGGGGTCAAACCAGGCTCTGGTCGGGCCCCGGTTTTAATCGATGTTAATCGGGTTTGAAATAGGTCTTTTTCTGTGGCCCCGATTCCCTGTTTCATGCGAATTTGGAGCTTCCTAACCTGGGCCCTGCCAGGGCCCTTTCAAAATTTCTCCACGGGTTATTTATTTATTTATTTAACATATTTACGGGCAGTGCCCTTTCGTACAGTTGTACTTATAATAAAGGATTTGAAAATTAACAAAGTATAAAAATTAAGCGAAGATAACAATAGCTTAATCATAATGGTATACGAGTTCACGTAGCTTAGTAATAAACATGTTTAAAGAGATGCCGTAAAAATCCAAGTTTGTGCAAAACTGATTTGCCTCATTAGTTATTCTAGATATGACTGAATTTTGTCCATAATTAGTGACATGTAAAGTTTGATTCAGTAATATAGGATATCTAACCGGTTTCATAGGAACAAAAAAATTCATTAATGACAAAAGAGGAGGGCAATTTATAATGCCATTTATAATTTTAAAAAGAAAAAGCAAGTCGCCATACAAAAATCTTTGTTTAATTGATGGGTTATATTTATTTTCTTTTTATTCAACTTCTGCCTTTCGTACACCCAATTAAATCGATTTGAAATATAATATATTTGAGTTAAATAAATAAAATAAATAATTTTATTTAGCGCTAAATTTAATTGTTATAAATATTTATTTGGCTCTAAAAAAACCTTTTCTTTGGGCGTATTAATAATAATTTAATAATTATAATTTAAAAATAGATTTCTATCATTAAAAATTATCATTTAATATTTTAAAAACATAGAAGTACAGTAAACTG